AATTATGGAGGCGACTGTGTGGATGGTAAGACTGTAGTAAGACTTACAGTATATCACTCCACACCCATTAATTATGGAGGCGACTGTGTGGATGGTAAGACTGTAGTAAGACTTACAGTATATCACTCCACACCCATCAATTATGGAGGCGACTGTGTGGATGGTAAGACTGAAGAAAGACTTACAGTATATCACTCCACACCCATTAATTATGGAGGCGACTGTGTGGATGGTAAGACTGTAGTAAGACTTACAGTATATCACTCCACACCCATCAATTATGGAGGCGACTGTGGATGGAAAGACTGTAGTAAGACTTACAGTATATCACTCCACACCCATTCATTATGGAGGCGACTGTGTGGATGGTAAGACTGAAGAAAGACTTACAGTATGTCACTCCACATCCATTAATCATGAAGGCGACTGGATGGATGGTAAGACTGTAGTAAGACTTACAGTATATCACTCCACACCCATTAATTATGGAGACGGCTGTGTGGATGGTAAGACTGTAGTAAGACTTACAGTATATCACTCCATACCCATTAATTATGGAGACGGCTGGACGGATGGTAAGACTGTAGGAAGACTTACAGTATATCACTCCACACCCATTACTTAAGGAGGCGACTGTGTGGATGGTAAGACTGTAGTAAGACTTACAGTATATCACTCCACACCCATTAATTATGGAGGTGATTGTGTGGATGATAAGACTGTAGTAAGACTTACAGTATATCACTCCACACTGCATTCATTATGGAGGCGACTGTGGATGGTAAGACTGTAGTAAGACTTACAGTATATCACTCCACACCCATTAATTATGGAAGCGACTGTGTGGATGGTAAGACTGTAGTAAGACTTACAGTATATCACTCCACACCGATTAATTATGGAAGCGACTGTGTGGATGGTAAGATCGTAGTAAGACTTACAGTATATCACTCCACGCCCATTAATTATGGAGGCGACTGTGGATGGAAAGACTGTAGTAAGACTTACAGTATATCACTCCACACCCATTCATTATGGAGGCGACTGTGGATGGTAAGACTGAAGAAAGACTTACAGTATATCACTCCACACCCATTCATTATGGAGGCGACTGTGGATGGTAAGACTGAAGAAAGACTTACAGTATATCACTCCACGCCCATTAATTATGGAGGCGACTGTGGATGGAAAGACTGTAGTAAGACTTACAGTATATCACTCCACACCCATTCATTATGGAGGCGACTGTGTGGATGGTAAGACTGAAGAAAGACTTACAGTATATCACTCCACATCCATTAATCATGGAGGCGACTGGATGGATGGTAAGACTGTAGTAAGACTTACAGTATTTCACTCCACACCCATTAATTATGGAGACGGCTGGATGGATGGTAAGATTGTAGTAAGACTTACAGTATATCACTCCACACCCATTAATTATGGAGGCGACTGTGTGGATAGTAAGACTGTAGTAAGACTTACAGTATATCACTCCACACCCATTAATTATGGAGGCGACTGTGTGGATGGTAAGACTGTAGTAAGACTTACAGTATATCACTCCACACCCATTAATTATGGAGACGGCTGGACGGATGGTAAGACTGTAGCAAGACTTACAGTATATCACTCCACACCCATTAATGATGGAGGCGACTGTGTGGATGGTAAGACTGTAGTAAGACTTACAGTATATCACTCCACACCCATTAATTATGGAGGCGATTGTGTGGATGGTAAGACTGTAGTAAGACTTACAGTATATGACATCCACACTGCATTCATTATGGAGGCGACTGTGGATGGTAAGACTGTAGTAAGACTTACAGTATATCACTCCACACCGATTAATTATGGAAGCGACTGTGTGGATGGTAAGACTGAAGAAAGACTTACAGGCTATGACTCCTCACCCATTAATTATGGAGGCAACTGTGTGGATGGTAAGACTGTAGTATAACTCCAAACTGCATTAACGCGACGTTGTGGATGGTATGGTTTAGCGCCACTAGCGGTTGATCGGTACAAGCAGTCGAGCGCCAAACTATGCCATGCTCCTAACACGTCACATTGACGTCATAACTCGCACCTTGGCGTGGTAGAGTCGCAAGTCAAAGCATTTCATGACCGGCTGTGAGATGTGTCACGCGTGTTAGGACGTAATCGGTGGGTAAATTTTCAGTTTCTACTTTTAGAATCATTTAGGAAATTAGATGAAACAGATAGTAAGATTGATGTGCATCAGAATGAATGTTGTGGGAATCAGGTGCTTGCTTCACACAATGTTTACACCAAGACGGTTGTTTAGCCTGTCATTGGGGAGAAACAAACGTCTGGATGTAAACATTTTAAAATCATTTAATGGCGTTTCAACAACCAGGGGGAACTGGATAAGCCTCCGCCTAATGTTGTTTACGAAGCTACACACTACACAATTTGTTATGTATAGGCCCTATGGATCTCACCTATGCCTAGCTTTCTGTTGATCACATTTCAGTGCGGAAAATAGTATGTGTAACAAATGTAGATATCTGCGATAACATTTTTGAAGAGTGGCTTTGAAATGTAGAAAATAGGGTGGGGCAAAGATGTTGAATGCAAAAACAATATCTGCGCACACCACACGGGCAGTCGCTATTTCACTCTTTGTCGTCATGTAGATGCAGGCCTGTCCTCACGTGTTTGTACTCATGTTCTTTAGGCAAATATCGCATCAAATTGCCTGACATTCAAATGTCACTGTGTTGCACAAGCGCCGAGTCAAGTAGACCAGCTGTTCTTCACATTGCAGCATCTTTGCCTTGCCATAACTAACATAATAATCATGTCGTACGTCTGTGTTACGGAATTACCGAAAATACCATGAACACTGTAACACGACGCACCAAACGATGTAAAATTAAACCTAAAAAAACACCTTGTCAAACGTAAAAAAAAATATGTAAAATAAATAATGCTCCCTTGTCAGTATATTCGTTTCTATTTTATAAAGGATTAGGCCTACTGAGTATTGTAATTATGGCATTTTTCACATGACAGAGGCTTCAAGACGAGAATAGTTGCAACAGTTTTAAAAGTTAAGAGCTTCGGTTTGTGTGTGTGTGTATGTGTGTGTGTGTTTAAGTGTGTGTGTGTGAGTGTGTGTGTGTGAGGGGGAAGGTGGGGGGGTGACCAGTGTGTTCCATGTAGGTTTGTTTATTTGACATAGACACTTATGCAGACATTATGCTCCAACGAAATGACGCATCAACTTGGGGCCATGTTCCTCGCGTCTGTCCTTGATGTTTTAGTATTTACGTATTCCCTTAAAATCAGTGGATACCCTTGTAACAACAAGTCCAGTCATTCTGCGTGCAAAAAGGCCTAGTAACCTGTTACATCAGTGTTATTACTTGGCTTACTGCACCTATTGTCAGATGCAGTATGGACATAGGGAAACCATCAAGACAGTTGTCATTAACTTGTCAATTTGTGAACATATGCAGACGTTACGTAATTTGGCTTTCAGTGTAGCAAAAACAATGTTCGTGTATGTTGTGTGTTTAGGTGCCAAAACAACATAACAATCTACTCACTGTAGTCAGCTAGGCCTACTCCTACAACATTTTATCAAAGAGTGGGAATGTATCTCAGTAAGTCAGCACAGGCAGTGTACAGCTTCACACACTTCCAACATAACAAATAGGATTCTAACGTGTTTCATGTTATGATGTATAAAGACCCACGGGGCAGATGAGCAACAATCAAGGTGTGTGTTGTATGCGGGATATATCCAGGATTCTGAACAAAGACAGATTGGGAACATATCGTTATTTGGTTCTTCCAGAGTTTTGTAACGTTGTATTAAGATCGTGGAATCAGTGTAATAATATAAAACTAAGCATTAAAAATCTCCCTATTTGTTGGTCCTGGTATCAGTGAGATACAGGTTAGCCCTACAAATCCAAACAAACCCCTTTAAAATGGCAAATTTCTACTAGTCCTTATGATACCTTAACTATTGGGCAGATTGCCAAGGACTACAGGACTAGTGCCAATTTCTAACGCTGATATATAACATGATGGAATGTTTACTGACATTTGCTGCTGGTCCATATTTGTGTCATTTATAGCGATTTACCAATCACTGAACTTGAATCTACCTGATATTTATATCTCTTGTACAAACGTGTTTAAATCGTATTCATGAGTGAACATTTTAAGGGGCAAAATATTTGTCGAATGACAATAAGTGTCTGAGGCCAGTTTTTATAATGCTTATTATATGCTATAGATCTATATTGTTTTCTCACAACCATATTATGTTTCAGCTTCGAGTGATCCGAGTCAGGTGCCACTGGTGACGACACAACATTCTGATCGACGAGGTAGGTGGGAGAGTGTCATTGTCCAACTATGCATGACATTTGGTCAGATCATCATGTCATATCAGCAAGATTCCACTCCGCAAATGTCCTATAAACAGTCTCTAACAGTTGATACATGTATTCTCTTATTAGTCTATCAATTTCAAACCTGTCAACGACTGCACTGATAGGACTCATAAAGGTCAATCCAACCAAGCAGGTGTATAGACTCGTGGGGTGGATAACAACAATCTATAGTTGTGTTGTATTTTTATGAGAGTCATTCAATTTATTTGACAATCACTAAACTACTATATTTATACTTCTGCTGTACTAAACGTATTTTAAATCAGGGCCTCAAACTGGTGGAATGGCAATAACTTGTCTGTGGCCAATATCAATAATACGTATGTGCTATATATAGTTTTCTAAACAACATATTCTGTGTTTCAGCCTCGAGTTACCCGAGCCGGCGCTGGAGGGATCCACGGCTCACCACTGCTTTCCCCGGTAGGTGGGAGAACCCAGCACGCAGAAAGCTCACTCCTAACCCTTCATACATACAGTGTATTCAATGAACAAGCTTATGTAAAGCAGTGTAAAATACATATCATATTATCTTAATAATTTGAGACAGCAATTGTACTGACAATGTCTGACTATTATCTTATAAAGCTCAGTACAACTTTATATTTTAGGAGAGTCATTTAATCTATTGACAATCACAAAACTATATATTTACACATTTGCTATAATAAACGTATTTCAAATCTAGCTCTGTAGTAAACGTTTCAAAAGGCTTCAAACTGGTGGAATGGCAATAACTGGTCTGTGGTCAATATTTATAATGCTTATGTGCTATTTATAGTTTTGTAAACAACATATTCTGTGTTTCAGCCTCGGGTTACCGGAGGCGGCGCAAGAGGTATCCACGGCACCACTGCTTCACACGGTAGGTGGGAGAACCCAGCAGGCAGAAAGCTCACTCCTAACCCTTCATACATACAGTTTATTCAATGAACAAGCTTATGTCAAGCAATGTAAAAATAAATATCTTATTATCTTAATAATTTGAGACAGCAATTGTACTGTCTGACTAATATCTTAGAAAGCAAACAAACGTTAACATTCTCCAGCCCTACATAGAATATTGTTACAACTACTGGATGTAGAAGAAAGCACTTGAACAAATGTCACGTGAATAGATTATTCTTAGTTCAATACATAAACCACTCCCCTCATCGTTATAGTGTTGTCATCCACACAGGAAGTGGTTCATCATGTATCGATGTTCCTGTCACGTATCAACACTTCGAGGTGTGAACACAGTAGATGTATGACGAAGATGTCTGGATGCGTACATAGTTTACTTTGTGTTACAGCGACTCCACCACGAGCAGACAGCGACCTCTACTACGCCAGCGGGGCCGGGGGCCTGGAGGAGATGAAGCGGCTCCTGACTACACCGGGAGTCAACATCAACAATAGAGGACGGGGGAGCAGTACACCGGTGATGGAGGCAGCAGTGAGGGGACACAGAGACGTGGTGGAGCTCCTGGTGAGTGAAGGGGCGGATGTGTCACTGGACGACTTGGAGGGTAACAACATCCATCACCACGCCTGTTGGGGAGGAGATTTAGAGACGGTGAAGTTTGTGCTGTCTCTGAACGTGGTGGACATCGACGCCAAGAACAACGACGGTGAGACAGCGGCCGACCTGGCGAGAGACTGGGGACATCAGCCAGGGGTGGAACTGCTCGTGTCCCGCGGCGCACAGTGACGTCGGTGTCGTGTTTGTGTAGACGGTGGAGGGGGACATGTTGTTTCAGACAGTGACGTGGTGTGCCGTGCACGTCGTCGTGTTATACTAGTATATTCCCGGATTTGATGAGAATGTTTGTTGTGTTTGAGGAGAAATAAAACTTGTTGAAAATATTTTTAGACATTTTGTCATTTTTTGTGTTTGGAACTTCGCATAATCAGGTAAGAAAGTTGTTAACTGAATGTAAATATTGATGATGTGTGATTATTATGTGAACACTGCATCTCGTAATACAATTAGTCTGTGTTAATTGTGTGTCAGGAGTTTATAATTAATCATGGAACACACAACAAACTGTTTGTTTACATCTCGCTGCACTCTGTGACCTCAGACTGAGCCGAGGTTCGCCCAGCTGACGTGGCGCCAAATGTACAATGACAGTGACGTCACACTGTCGATGACGTCACGGCATTGCGGCCAAGGCCTTGCACCAAAGTGACTGGCTGTTTTCTCTGCCAAAACAGGGCGGCACAATGCAGGCTTCGTGGCATAAGCATACAACACAGGGACTTTGTGGTAGATATGGTTTAACAAGGGACATATCAATCTAATTTTATTGTTGCTGCCTGACTTTAAAAAATTAAAGCGACAAAATCTCTGCCGGAAACAGAATCGATTGTACGAATCCGACCATATCATGATCATGTGTCAGTCGCAGTTTCAAAATCGTATACATTGTATAAAAAGCGTTGCAACATACTTTCTTCACACAGTGTAACCGAATTATATAACATTCAACTAGACTTGGTTGTCTTCACAACAGTATCTAATTTCAGCAAATCCCAAAGGTATATTGACAGATTGTACGATTCGGAATATTTCATGTGCATGTGATTATGAATCAAATAGTGATGATACCAAATACTTCAGGTCAACAGGTATTTTTTTCTAACTTATTTCACCATTTCAATAAAAGAAAACTGGCTTCAATTCCACTGAACAGAAATATTTATAATAACATTACAACAGTAACACCTTGAACCACGTATAAGTAACGGATGATGTCAAGCAGTCATTCAAAACGTAAATAAAGTAAGTCTACAGTGTTTTTATTTAAAAAAAGGACCTTTGTATTCTTATTCGTACGGTTGTCTTTGCTCAGAGGCAGACAAAAACCGGCTTAACCCTCTTGGTGTCACGGGACGATATATAGGTCCCTCACTTTACCCGCCATCTTAGTGCCACGGGACCCGTCAAAATGTCCCTTTTCAACTGTGAATAAAGATGTCAAACACTGAGTGCGCAAAATCAAAATTATAACAGTCATCACCCTAATCATCTCAGCTTTAACATTGTGTAACTCAGTTTATACAGGGCTACGGATTGCGAAATATGGTGAGATTAGTAAAGTGGTTACAGCGCTTTTCGACATGTGTCTGCCATGTTGAACTTGATGCGAATGATATGCTTGTCGTAAGAGGCGACTAACGGGATCGGGTGGTCAGAATCGCTGACTTGGTTGAAACATGTCATCGATGCTCATGATATCAATCACTGGAAACAACAAACCAACCAATCATGCGAATGACGGCGATTTTTTTTTTATTTGCACCCACGTCACTAACACGTAACTATTATAATATCAGACAGCCAATTTGAAAATAAATTTATCAGACTGGTCAGAAGGATTTACTCTTTCCCTACTGTACAGTTATTGGCGTAAGACGTTTAGTCCGCAACGGAGTATTTTGGTTCAAGTATTGGATACTTTATTGACTGAGTGTCATAGTCATTAATCACGGCGCTAGAGACGAAACGATGGTGCAGATTGTCTCTCTGTTTCTGATAGTGATTCACAGAAAATATTCAAATCTAAGATATGGACAGACAGCTATGATCGTTAATATTAAAGTGGTGCAGTGTATATTTACGGGAAGCCCGGAGTGATCACGGTCGCATCCTAGCTGTGCCGCGATTTCTTGTCCACAAGTTGCCCTTCATCTGTTTGGACAAATAACTGCTGCTTTTTTCATGAGTAAGAGTAATGAGTGATTGCTTAAACTACCTGACCGTGTGAATGAATTGCCCCAACCGTTTCACATTTTGTGGAAAATGGAGATTTTAAAAGTGTGGCCACGACATCTGTGAGTAGACGATATTGTAATCAAATTGTGTCAAGGTCGGTTTCGCATATGATAGCCCTGCCCCCGTTTCTGCCGATGGAACACGCGTTACAAACAATACAACTATTGACAATGTGAGCATAACTTCTAAAATGATGACAGCAATACGTTTTTGTATTTTGGGTCAACCGCTTATGGATACGATGTGCTGTAAAGTTCGATTTCGACTTGTCTTTCCTTTCAACGAAACTGTGATAATGGCGCTATATGATTGGTTTGCTGAAATAGTATTTTGCGTGAGCCTAATGTTCATGGTACAAGATAATTGATAACCAATTGTGTAAGTGTATATATCATCAAATACACATAATAAATCTCCTCAGAAAATGGAATACATTATCATAACACGAGAGCTCGTATTTCCAACATTCTGTATGCCATGGATATTAGATGTAATTAATATTATATTTATATTATATTGTAGACATATGGTTATCTATTGCAAATCTTCAACTCCTATTTTATATGTTATCTGAAATGTCAGCAATGAGTTAACTCTTTGTTTTGTTTCGGTTCAATGACGTCACAATATGCAATTTTATTTGTGTAGTCTAATAGACGGTCGGGGATTTCCTGCCCCTGTGAATTTGCCGGTGCGCTTGATTTGACTTCGCCTGTTGTTACGTGATATATATATGACGTTTAGTCAAACAGCTGATCTAATGTTGTGGTAGTCTAATGGGTACACCTGGTTTCAGTTTCCAAATATTAATATTCTCTTTGACTGAACTAGAAAGTAGATCTAGCACATCACGATTGGGAAGATTTCCACAGCGACCGACGAGTGAATGAGACCGTTTATCACTTGATTAACACTGTTAGAATATTTGGCGGAGTTTTCTTATTTTGGTATGTTGTATGTTTTGTATATGTGCTTTGCATATCTGTTTGAAAGTTTGAAATTCCTAGAAAATAATGTGATGAAATGTTTTACAGTGAGGAAGCTGTCAACTGGAGCTAATATTAAACAACTCTTTTGATATTTTAGCCTCATATATTATAATTTCAAACGGTTCAATTTATAACATAAACAGTAAAAGTAATTAGATCTACACACAATATATACATAATCGATTTCAGAATAACAAAAAAAATTCAGTATAAATGTTATTTCCATTTGATATTTTAAATAGTTTTCATTATGTTTTATTCACTGTGCATTTTCTAAGTTATCTTTAGATTATTCACCGACCAGTGGTATTTAGTAATACTTGCTTTGTTTTGTATCCTTAGTAAGAAATAGAGTTGTCACATTGATCAACAAAATGAAATACATTTTTGGAAATAATAAGGAAATGTAAGTATCTTTGCGGGTAGCATTGGTGATGGTGACGAAGTTTTGATAAATCACTCGCTTGGAATTGTGCGATTTCCTTTTGAATTGCAACACAAAGTAAATATTTCCACTGCATTGCTTATTTATCATGTTTATGCTTTTACAGTCAAAATGTGCCATCTTTTTACTCAGGAAATTTATCTTATTCAGTTATATTACAAATTGACTTAGAAACATTTCCATCTGCATTGTGATGTTAGGATTAACAGTACATTTCTATACTGTTTGGCTTCTAATCCTGGCATAATTAATCTATTTTGATAAATGACTGAAATATTTAGACATTTTATAAATTGCCTGAGAGAATAACATTTTACAAATTGGCTGTCACATATACACGCTTACAAAGGAAAAGACTTGTGAAAACAACGTGAATCGCGCGTCGGTGAACTTTCCAGCCATGGCGTAGAGGAACAAGAATGAATCTGTTCAATGCTACAGCAAATGAAGGAAAACAAAATGCAAATACCATAATTACAACCTACCAATTTATATGTATAATTTTAGGCAGCTTCCTTGTTCGAAGAATGTATCTGTGAATATCCACATAAAGGAACAATATCCTACACGTCTGCATCTGTACAAAGAAACATATTCCATGTCATGTGTCCCTGAAACAATCAAATATTTAAAAAAATATATATATATCGTTTTGGCATAATATAACCCACGTGACAACTATTTCCATAATGCCCACGGTTCTATAAAAAACATCCATTGAGGTAAATAACAATGAGCAATCAATCAACGTATTATCGGTTAACCCTTCGAACAAAGAAAGTTGTTTTTACATCGGCACTTCACGCCATGATATGAGTGTATTCCATTTGCTTCAGTAAACCTGGACATGTTAACACTTACTTTTGACATACCCACTGTGCATGATAACAGTGATTAATGAATCAACGTATTTTCTGCTAATCCTTTGATGGCTAGGAATGATCCGTTGATTAAAAAAAAGTAAATCAACTGATTAAAATCAATATACCAGAAAACGTGGATGACAACAAGGGAATAGTCATCTATTATCCAAGAAACCAAAATTCGAAAATGCTTTCACTGCAGGGATACTATTTTATATTAAACTATAACCATCAGGGGTATTTCCAAATGACGACATCCGATGAGCTTCCGCCGTTCTCTTTGTCTGTTTGTTTAGGATGATGAAATTAATTAACATGAGCCCTTAGTCGAAATATTTATAGATCACGGGTAACAAATCAGCCCAGCTAACACGAAACTATTATACAAACATCCCTGAAACATTTTACGAAACTTCCGGAAATGTTTTCAAAAAATGTTTCCTTCACTAGGTTTTGTATGGTTCCGGAAACATTTTAGAAACATTTTCTGTGAACATTTGGGTATAACGTTTCCAAAATGTTTTGAAAACGAACCAGGGTGTTTGAAAAGCTCAGTGTTTTGCTGCCAATGTTCAAAACGTAAAACACCCACTCTCTGTTAACAAGATACAAATGATCATAACATTGTCAGGGACTGTACACCCTTCAGGCATGCACTGCAGAAAACACAATACCAATGACCGACATGGTAATCCATGCCATGTCTTCAACATTCAGTCAACAGAGAACTTCAAGACTCTGTTC